GCCGACCAGAGGCAGGTCGGTAAAATGCCGATCACACAAGAGGGACCCAAATATGGGGAGATTAACTGGCTCACTCGGACAATCAATAAGATCTCACGATCCGTGGGAACGGTAATAAATACCGGGAGTTACGAGTCCATAATGGGACGTGATTTATGGGATCATAAGTGCGATTCATGTCTATAACGTCACACCGTTATATATAGCAATGATTAGGTCTAAGGCGGCAGGTTACTCTCATCAAATGTTTTAGGTCAGGACTGCTGTCAAGTTCTTTTAGCTCGGCATCGCTAAGGGTGCTTCGGCGGCGGTCTCCAATACCGGAACAAACACAAATACACAAGGGTAGTGGTTCTCACTTTCCCCTTGTGTTTGTGGGCTAAGTGGGTTTGAGTCATGACTCATGAGGCTCACCTTAATTTGCTTGCGACTTACGAAGTTTTCTTCCAACTAAAGGGCATCTGGACCAGCCTACCATCTTTTCAATTTAGTACACAAACACAAGTAATAAACATTCATCTGGCTTAATTTCGGTAGTGTGTTGTATTATTTTGTAGAAAAAATACAAAAATGTTTTTTAAACATTTCCTTAACTTCATGAACAAAAACTGTTTAGAGCAACTTATAGACTACGTATTTAGATAGTTGAAATTTGACTACTTTTTTACAATTGGTGCAGAAAGTTTATTTTGTCGATAATTAGAGCGTTCTGATGCACAACGCATAGAAAGGAAGCCGTGGAGCTTATCCTTAACTTAATTACCAGATACATGAACGGTTACTCGATGACCTATGCTGTGCTCACAAAGTGGAATGGTCAAATACAACAACACATGCACTTTGCATATAAAATGGGATCTTTTTGCAATTTGAATTTGACACATAGTACAACAGCGATCGTAGATGCATGGTGGTCCTCTTTCATAAAGTGAACATTTTGTAACCATCACCATACTATACTTGCCCACATTTATATGTATGGCTAAGCTCATCATTACGTTTATCATTAATTGTTAGCATGAACTTTAAGACTTTCATCACTACTGTCTCTCCTTATAATCACATGTAGAAAATATATATATATATATATATATATATATATATATATATATATATATATTTTCTGACCATTATTATATACATATATGACCGTCATATAATTGTCGTATTTGGAAACTTTATGACCTTCTCTTATTTGCGGCTATGCCATCCCTATTCAATTTCATTCATTATTATTTATGATAAAAAAAAAATATCCGCCTACCTAGTAGTATCTTTTTCATTGCCTTCGTGTGTAGGGTGCTACAAAAGGATTATTTGACCTTTTTGACTTTATAATTTGGACCCAACAAATGTATTTTTAAGTAGTTAAATTTCAAACTGCAGTAGAATAATAATGTAATTTCCCTTGTTTTGACTATAGTTGGTTGGTGTTCATTGCGCTTTCCTAACTGTTAAGCCTGTAAAGAGCATGTTTCCTCCTTTTACGTACATATATATGTCAGTGACAGTTGTAACCTTACCTTCGTGGTTCCATGAATACAGTCTTTCCTTACAATGATTGTGACAAGGTAGAGCAGATTATTTGGCAGGGAATCTAGTACATAGGGTCCATATATGTTTTGATTGGACTTGTTTTGAAGGAAAAGTTCAACAAAATAACCACGAGAGCAAAATGAAAATTTATGCACAACCCAAACGCTCTGGTCATTATGGATCTATAATAGGAGAATGTCAGAGGAAACATAGGCAGTTTAGAGTTGAAAATTTCTGACGCGTCTCTAACTGCTATATATATGCTTATCATTGGGATGTCAGAACTGAGAATTCAGAATTCCTATATATAGAGATCAGTGCCAAAAGTTATAAATAGTTTCGTGTGGAGTAATATGCATATCCCTTTATCCCATTCTCTGAACTAGCGGTCTCGGTGCATTTTTCTTCCAAACCCAAAGTCACTTTTGTTTTGACTATTTTAATTGATTTTGATGAAGCAATTTAGAAGAGTAGTAAAATTATGTTTTTGTCAATTTTTCCCCACTCACGACACTCCAACTTAAAATTTTTACTTAGAAAAACCAACTCTTTACCATTTTCATCAACAGGCCCAAGTGAGAGGCAATTGTTTCTATCACCTCATCATGGAAAAAGACTCGGTTGCCTGAATTTTCAGAATTTTATGAGATACTACTCACTAGAAGACACAAGTCATCAATCTTCTCTGACTTATACCTTTTACATTTGCCCTTTGTTTCAAAATGTCATAATAGCACGTTTTTCGGTGCCCAATTTCTTAAAATATAAATGCAAAAAAAATATTTTTTTTTTCTGGTGCAAACCTAGATACTAAAATATTATAAATCCACACTAGAGTTACACTTAGTTACCTATGTTAATTACTGATGATCAATGTTTATTAGATAAAAAACAATTGCGAGTCGGAGAACCATTATTTGACAATAATGTCAGTAACCGACAATTAAAATATCAGTAATCAAGCGTAATAACCTGCTGCTGTAAAACTTGAGGTGCAGATTTAACATTAATAAAATATAGAATACGAAAACTATGACAATAATAAACACAACTAGTAACAAAAAAAAAAAAAGTTATCTACCACGTGTGTACGTATCAGCAATTGAGCTTCTCTTCTTTGGCAATAGAATTTTTGCAGTGAGCAATTGCAGCTTGAATGGCTGCTTGCAACTCTTCCATGGTGCTGTCATTAGCAGGAGGAATTGCAGCGGTTGCAAGCAAAAGGCCACTATTTGTTGGAGAAGTTCTCATAGATGCTGGTGCTGAATATTCCCCTCTTCTTCCTCTCAACTCAGGCTTACTTTTCCTCATCAAATTCCCCGAATGAGAATAAGCTTGTCCATGGAACCGAACTTTTTCTCTTCTCCCTCTGAAAAGAACTAGTGGCTGCACCATTCTTAAGTACTTCTTCAGTGCATGCATCACATCATACCCTAGTTTCTTCTTGTGCTTACTCTCTTTATCTTCTTTGTCCCTAACTTGACACCCCTTGCGCCCTTTTGTTAATCCAAACAATGAGAAACTAGGCTTGGACTTACTCTCTTCCTTTGTGGCTCTATTGTTGTACAACTCTTCTTTGCTGATGCTACTGTTGCTGTTGTTAATGCTATCTATGGTGATGTTGCTTCTGTTGCTGCTGGTGCGTTTTTCATCTTCTAAGAAGTCTCTGATGGGGAGAGTGAAACCGTCCATGGAGTTGGTGGAGAAGCGAGGTGATGAAGAGAAGTGAGATAAGAGGTGGAGAGGAAGCAAGTGACCGTGGAAGAAAATGTCATCTGCGGGAGATAAATCAACTGCAAGAGAAGGTGTGGTTTTGGATTTGTCATGGATTGTGGTGTTGGAAGAGTGGAGGGAGATTGTGAAGGAGAATTCATGAGAAGGGGAAGAGGATGGTGAAGGAGGCTTTGCTTCAGTTTGCTTTGCCACATCGTTTTCTGTGTTGTTTTGGTTTTGATGTGTTTCCATTATTACAGTTGAGGTTGTCTTGAAGAGGGTGTGGGAAATTAATTCTCGCTCTATGATCTTTTCCTTTTGGTGGAGAGGGGCTGTGTTGTGATCTTTTCTTTGTTGTATGGATGTTAACAAAGCTTTATGAGGGATAAGGGAACCGAAAAACATGGAAAGAAAGAGAGGGTCTTTGTCAAACCACTGTTGGACTTGGTTTGTCTTCTTTTGAAACTTTTTCATAAGACACCAATTGTGTCTGTGTGTATGCGTATTATTTACGTGTGATGATTATTAAACATTATCAATAATGTTTATTTTTCACTTAGAATAGTTGCGTTATATGGAAGGGTGGTGAAGAATGGGTTGAGATGGTATGTTTTTTCTCGTGTGTTAAATAAAAAGGGTTAGTGGTGTGTTTTGTTGAGTCCCTATCAGGCCCAACAGCAATAGTTGTGGTGGTTTTGGGAATGAGGTCACAAACATCCAAATTTGGCCACTAAAGGAAGATGGGATTGGCATGGCGGATTTCACTCCAAAAATTTGGACTTTGTTTTCCAATCAGTGAGAAGGTCTCCAAGGAAGGAAAACAATTCCATGTACATTCATTTACTAGGAGAATTAGATAAATATGTATACTAGTTTAGGGGGCTAGACAACGCCCTTTTTTTTTCACAGGTTAAATATTGAATGAACATCAAAAGAAAAAAGTTGTAGATCGATGGAACATATACACTTCTTCGCACGAAACCAGATTGTATATATTTTTTAAAAATATTTTTTGAAGTTACTACAAATTACTATAAAGTTGTTAAATTAACTCTTGCAAATGATATATATTTACAAGCATGACCGAACTATAGTGAATGTTGAGTCGGGTTGGTTTCTACATGAATTTAAGTTCAAAATCTTGTATATGTGATTCTGAACTAACTCTGCAACAAGGTTTTTTGTCAAAGATAATTTTTGTTCATCAAATATTATTTTAAAATGGACGAAACTCGAGAATATCGGATTGAGACATTGAGAAAATAAATTATTCTAAAAGTTGATGTAATAATTAATAAAATTATTTTTAAGCGATTAAAAACTTGAATAAAATAAAATAAATATTCCTTAAACGAGTGGGCAACATTATTATGATAAGCAGAAAAAGAAATGGAAATAGTAATTAAATTGGAAAAGAGATTGGGAGGGCCATGATCAGTGCCAGCTGTTGGGAATGATTCAGTTCACCGATTCATTCATTGATGAACGCGAAAGCTCAAAGAAACAGAAGGATCAATGTCGTTTAGGGGAGGGAGATCATGTGAGTGTGAGCCCCTTTATCCGACGGTGCCCAACACTACTATCCATGTGTAAGTCCACAACCATACATTGACTACTGCTATATCCTATATATGTACTAGTCATATAAACTCATGGAAAGACATATCATCACATATTAATTACAACAAGATTCTTAGTTCGAATGAGCCTAAACTTGAATCTTTTAATTTAAGTTTCATGATTGACATAAAAGACCCCAATAAAAATAGTTCAATTATATTCCAATTGTTCCAAAACTTTCGGTTATAATAAGAAAATATCAGCGATGATCGATCTCATTGTAATGAGGCGATGTCTAGAAAAATGGACTTAACATATATGATGATAATTTGATCTAAAACTAAGAGGATATATACACAATCTACGATCTTGAAGAAAAATGTAAATGATATATGACATTATAATTTGGCCTAAGGTATACGAGAATCAATTAATTATCATAAAATCAATAAATTGAGGAATCAAAAAGTAGAGGGAAATTGAAATAGAAAAATGAAAGAGAGATAGTTAGGTGGTGGGGGTGGTCGATGATAGACCCACACACACGTGCATGGGGTGGTGGTCCATCCAGCAAGCATAAAGGAATTTTGTATGCATGGTTAAGGTCAACATCTTAATCATGGAGGCATTATTTGGTTGGACTGAACCATCCTCACCACTTTCACCACTAAATATAAATATTACTACATTCTCTCCATCCATCGTCTTTTCTTATTGAGATAAGAGAGAGAAAGCATAGCATAAAACAAATCCTTCACCATCCAACAACATAGAGATCCTTTTGCGTGGGAATGAAATAACTTTTGCCTCTCATATGTTAGCCATTCAATTAATCGATTAACCCCTTTTCTCCAAACAACAAAACCTTGAATCACCTCACTGCTTCTCTTCCTAGCTCTATCGCGTTTGTTAACGTTTCAACTTGTCAGAAAAGTACTTGATCGATTCTTTTTCAGAAATCCCCGAGAAAACGGATCACGTTTTCATCTTACCATGCATGTAGAGCTGTCAAAACGGGCCAGTCCGATCCATGTGGGCTGACCCACTTTGACCTACTTTAAAAACGAGCCAACCTAATCTGACCCACTTTTGATTTCTTAAAAAAAAATTTGGCCCGGCCCGGCCCACCACGGGTTGGTGGGTTATACGGGCCAGCCCACCAGCCCACTAAAAATTAAAAAAAAATTATCAACAAAATTCAAAATTTTAAATTAATTATAAATTAACATAATAGTCATAAAATTAACATCATTAATAGTCATAAGTCATAACTCATCATACAAAATTAAATACAAATCATGGTAAAAGTCTAAAATAAAAATTTTCAATAACCTATCATATAAAATTAACTACAAATCATACTTAAATTTTTATTGCAAAAAAAATGGTGGGTTGGTGGGCTACTCGGCCCACTACGGGTTTAGCCCGGGTGAGCCGGGTCAAAATGGACCGGGTTGAGATATACCAACCTACTATAAAACTTTAAATTTTATTGGCCCAGCCCGGCCCATTTTCAAGGTGAGCTGGGTTGACCATGGGTCCCGGCCCACTTTGAGAGCTTGTGCACCCACCAAGACATTAATTACAATAATTTGGATTTTGCAATATTGAACGGAATTACAGCAACGTACTGCTTCATTCAATTAATGTGTCCATGCATATTCATCAGACAGGAAATAGCTAGTATGAACTTTTAATTTTAATTAACCTATTTATTTGTTTATATATGCTGACTTTTGTTATGAACGTGCATGCTTTAACTCATGTAGGAGGAGGCGTAGCGTTTGTCCTATGCCTATATATATATGACAAATGTTGAGACATGCAAACGTACCATTGACAAATATCCAACCCAAATTTTTTTGAATCAATTAATTTAGTTTGAAATAGTTATATCATTTATGTAAATTCTCGTTCATTAATTTTTATTTATTCGTTGAAAAAATGGAATACTTCCGCGCGTCTTAATAAGATAGGGCCGGAATCTGATTCTTTTTTCTTGTTGCCTCAGGATTTTTTGAGTTTTATTGGATAGTTTTCTCTGTTTGAAAACTTTGAAGTGATAATATTTTTTTTATTTTTATTTTTATGTGTAGGAAACATAAACAAAACAAGAGTAAAAATTACAAGCTTGTGAAATAGCAACTGCACTCTAGTGTATCTATTAGCTCCGTCAGCCATGAGTTGAGGAGATAGTTGCTGAGGGCAAAAGATAATGTGATATAAGTAGACTTTTCAAGTACACAAGTCAGTTTTAAAATGATCGATCTCATAATTTGTGAAAGAGTGAGATATCTAATGGGTGGCCTCAGATAGAGATTTTTTTGGCACTCATCAATGGGAGAATCACAGTTGAGTTTAACGCATAAGTCAATATATGCAAAGTTAAGAGGTGAAACGTAAGAATAAAAATACATACCTATTTAAGATTTGAATAATCTTGTTTGTCTGTCTTTACTCTTTAGTAGTAAATGTGATTGGATATTAATTGATTCCTTTACATTTGGACATATGATAATAGATAGTTATTTCGTTTAGATGATTAATCATTATCTCCTCTTAATTAGGACATATAACTCCATTTTAGTGGATGACAATTACAAAAATAAAATGATATTTTTATAACTTTTTTCTTCTTAATCATTAATTAAAAAATATAAATATCAAATTATTTGAATTAACAATTTTTATCTCTAATTATTTAATATTGCGTTATTTAATTTGTTGCATTTTGGATGTTGGGCCAATCTACCCTTTTAGCCTTGTGGGTTGCTAGTTATCCAGAATATATTGTCAAAGCATGTTGTTATCACGATTATTAAAGTATGTTTGGGTACGCATTTTTTTTAATGTAACTGTAATTTTTCATTTTTTAATATAAGAATTGAGAATTAACGAAAGTGTTACTTTGAATTGAAAGGGCATTTACACGTTTTAAACGCTAAATCAAACACACGTTTAGTGGTTACTATTTACTTCTAAGTTTGTTAGTTCAATTAATATTTTATTGTATCAGTTACGTAGCAGCTTTTATATATATATATATATATATCAGGAAATATATTAGGTTAAGATTTTAATAGATGTTAAAATACTTTTTTATTATAAAAAAAATCTTATGATATTAAATTAAGATCATTTTTTAATATAAAAAAGTTATGTGATATTTAATTAAATATTTAAAATATTTTTTATATTATTAAATATTATCTATCATTAAATTTTTTAAATTATTAAAATTTAACTATTTATTTTGAATAAAATTTAATATTAAAATATAAAATTTTAAAAACATATATTAAAAAGACTTTATAAGTCATGATAATGATCCTTAAAATAAAAATGAAAATTTTAATTTACGTCATACATATTTAAAAAATATAATCGAGAGAATATTTAATATTTTAAAATTTTACTTCACAATTTTTAACTCAAGACCTCTATTCTTATTTAAAACACAAGCTAAACTTGTATTAGTATGTAGTACTACATAATGTTTTTCAAAAAAAATGTCGTTAAGATGAATTTTCAATTGAATTAGTAGAAGAATCTTCATCTTCAGTGCTACTAATTAATAAAAATTATAATTTTAAAAATATTATTCAGAGTCAAGTGCATAAAAGAAAGTATGTCAATGCATGAAAGTTTAGCTATTATAATTTTAAATATGTTAAGAAATGTTAGTTAGGAGGACATTAAAGTCAATTATTTGTCAAAAGATAGAAAAATTATATTAGTTTTACTTTTTTATTTATATTTTTTTATTAAATCTTATAATATTACAAATCCATGTTTTCTTATGAAATTCA